TGTCAGATTAAACCCTCTGAAAGTTGGGTGGGGGGGAGGAGGGGTGGCGTCGCTTGTAATCTCACCCTGGGAAGAGCGAAACCACAACTCTGGCAGTAAATGGCGTATCAGCCACGGCGGGATGTTTCGTTTGGAAATCCTCTGAGAAAATCACACGTCAGTCTTTGGGATTGGAATTAGTTTCGAGAGCTGTTTGTTCGCCTCTGTGCCGATGTGTCGGGTTACACAAACCAATATCTGCATAGCTGTATCAGCAAATGGGGGAAAAGGGACTGAATCAATGGTGGCGGAGGAGGCACATGGAGCCACTGACTGTTTTTTAAATAGATTTTTACAATACCTCTTTTCCTGTCACCTTTCATGAAATCCTGCCTTTTTAGAACTCAAATGATCCTTTTGGGAGGCTGAAATTAGCATCCTGAAATATTCATGACATGTTTCAGAACTTGTATCGTGCATCTCCGAGGACTTGAACAGGTACTGTATCACCACCGCGTGTGTAAATGTTTCATGGGCAGCGAGCTGCAGAACTTTCATGCACCTCAGATAGATTTTCAATCCAAATTGATTGATAATCAAAACACATCGCGATGCAGAAGCACTGCTCAGTGACCAGGTTGAGTACCTGTTTAACCTTTAAGTCTAATTCTGCCTTTTTTCCTACCAAACGGCAAGGAGGTTCGTAGTAGTACGCTTTAACACCCACACAGTATGCGACAACACTATTCGGGCCCAAGCAGAACCTTGCAGACGTATTTAAAGGAACAATATGTGGTTGGGTTGTGAGGCTGAAGGCTGAGATCATCTTCAGTGGAGATCAGCAACACCACCAACACCGCCAATAATGAGTAAAAAAAAGCTTACAAAGGTTAAAAGTACTGTTTGATTTGATAAACTAAGACCCATAAGATTGTTTTTCCATCCAAGAGGTTGAACACTCGCTCTCCTATTGTGAAAAACCCAACAGCATGTTGGGTGTTTTCCGTTTCCGGGCCCATCTCATGAACTGTGTCCCGTTCTCTGGGTGAAGATCCAGGCGTGGTGACTCACAGGGACTTGGAAAGCACCCGGAGAACCCCGCAGAGGTTTGGTTTGTTTTGAGGAGACCACTGTGATTGACAGACGACCCAGAGGGCCGGATGCAGGACACAGGCGGGCCGAGCATCCCGAGACTCTCGGGGGTTCGGGGGGGTGGGGGTCTTTCAAGGGCCCAGTTCAGACCTCCTTTTGCTCTCAGCATGACTATTTTTAATAAGGGCACTGGCTGTCTGCGCACACGTATCCTCTCAACATGTATCGCTGGAGACAGTATATTTTTCCATCAACAAGCAGAGCCGAGATTTGCAAAGCTTTAAGCTGCCAGGAAAGCTGCAGCGGAGACACCAGGTGCCACCTGTCAGTCAGGACCCACGTTGGACGCCGTCCTGGCGTTCCACCGTTCATCTGCTCTGATCAGATGCGCTTCAGATGTCGCTAGGCAACCAGCGCAGAGCATCCTCTCGAGGACCTCGCGCTCAACGCCGAGGCCCAGCAGCTGCGGCCGAGACTCTTAGTTCACCGCGGTGGAACATCGCTCCATATTTTCCCCACACCTCGGCTTTTGGTAAATGGTCGTATGCGTCGCCGTGGCGAGCAGAAGGTACTGCTGTTAGTTTCGGAGTGAGGATGGCGGTTGTGTTCAGCCGACGGACATTTCTCTGGCTCCCAGGAGCGATTACCCGGCGACGACAGGACGCAAATGGACAGATCAGACGGGTCAAAAGAACTGTGCTGAGAAACATGGAGGTTGAACAGATGGGCATAAATTCTGAGTAGAGCATACAGCTCATTCAACAGCAAAGAACCAATGTCTATGGGTCGGTTTTTAACTTTTGTGATACGGAACAGAATCCCCCACGCCGGAATGTTTTTCTTTATCTGAATAATAGTATCTACATATTGTTGTACTACAGTATTTATATGTAATGGTATAAGCAGTTATTTCTGAAAAAGCTAAGAGCTCAACGTGTGACTAATATGTAACCCGATACCTGACCGCCGAAGTTCTTGGATAAATCAAAATGTTTTATGATCACCAAAGTTGCTGCCGCTGCTTCCAAGGAAGAAATACCAGCTTTGACATCAGTGACTGAGGTGCATCCAGAACCGCCACGTGGTTATAACTTGTAGCCCGCAGGAATGCAATGGTCCTTTTCTCTGCAGAGATGCAGAATTTATAATAGTGGGGCCGATTTCCAAGCAAATGGTTGGATTGAAGGTACCCACTGAGGAGCTCGAGGCCTCACTGTTGCCCCTCAAAGATGAGCCGGTAGTTTGCGTACTGTATAGAACCATTAAGGCAATTTCTGACCATGTGACTTTGGTTCACGTTGTAGTCGGTTGATACTACAACAAATTCAATCCTGTTAGGACAATCGTGGTTTTGGGTCAAAATTTGTCCAATTTGAGAAAAAGTGTGTGTGTGATGTTAAAATGGGAAGAGCAGTCACCAACATGGCTGATGCAAGGGAACTCATGCCAATATATAACAACCTTTACCTTACAACAGTATCCGCAATTACTCTGCAATGGCCTCTAATTAAATATAACTAACTGACTGAACTATAAGACCAATTAGACCTTATTGGTTCCTCTCCAGAGAGGACGGTCCATGCAGAGAATCAGCAAAGAACAGATTCAGCTACAATGTATAATAAGTTATTTCTTAAAGTCAGTTTTTGTGGTTTTCAGGTTTTAACCGTCTTCTTCGCGCTATTTTCTACGATGTAAGCTCAGAGATTACCATCACCGCATAAAACTGAGGGAGCTTATTTATTTTTTGCAGTGCTTCTCTCCATGAGGAGGACTTTTTGTCCTTAGGGAGACAACTGTGCCTGTTTACTGCAGCCATGTTGTTAAGGCCAACTGCGTATACATGGCATGCACTGAGTGCGTGGAATACAAATACATTTAAAAAACCCATCATGCGACAGTGTTCCCCGTGGGAAGGCTTGCTGCAGAGGTACTGTTGATGTGAGATATTGAGTAGAGAAAGCGATCCATCATTTAATGAAGATGCTGCACAGGAACCTAATACAGACAGACTGAGGTGATCAATGGGGCCGCATGCTCAGTTCCACGGGTCGGGACAGGCAAATGTCACACATTCCGCAAAGGCCAGACGCTTCTGAGGTTGTTGGATGCCCGTTCTGTTGCCACAGGAAATGTGTTACAGAGAAATGCAGCAGGGACTGAAGATAAAAACGTGTAGAAAGACATTTTGTGCCCCAAAAAAGGTTGATTTCCTATTTAGCCTGTTAATGAGCTGAAGTCTGAAGTGAATTTTATTTTGCTGGTATTAATGCCAAGACTATTCAGTCATTTCGATAAAAGAATCGGAAAGACTGGTGCAGGTGCCAAACTACTTTAAGCTATTTTATTAAGTTTCCCCTTGAGCTAAACGTTCAACGAGAACCGCCACCGCATGTCTGCGTGTCTCATGCTTTTATTGTGAAAGGAAAGAACAGAAGGGATCTGGTCTGAGCTGATTTTGTTGAAAGGAGGAATATAGTTTGCCTTCTTGGTTTGAAGTACGGAGTCTCCCTTTGTTGTTAAATAAAAGCGGCACAGAACCCTCAGCTGATGAAAAGCTGACAAAAATACACACTGCTTTTCTGCCACGTAATATTTGCATGCTAAAATACTCACCGCAAGATCAACGTTTGAAGAAAGAAAATGTTTTTCGCCGCACAAATTAGAAAGAAATGCCCGTGGTGTGTTGAGGCCTCACAGCTAACAGGCCATTTATTCTCAAATGTGGAAACACAAAAAACATGTCAAAGTAATACTTCTACTACGCTTATTCATTCGGTGGCATTGTCAATATCGCTAGCGCTGCAACCAGAAGCGCCCTGGCTTAGCTTAGCATAAAGGCTGGAAGCAGAGGGAAAAATAAATAGTTTGTCATTTTAGGAAACATGTTCGTAGTTAAATTAAATCGGTAGAATATGTCTCATCTCATTTTTGTCAAACTATTCATTTGATATAGTTTTCTATGTGAAACAAGAACCACCAGTTAGAACAATGCACATTAGAGTAGATCCAGCAGAGTGTTTTCTAACCACTTGTGTGATTTAGCCCCACTAGCATCAGTAATATGAGCGCATAATGAGGAGGAGGAGGAGGAGGAGGAGGAGGAGGAGGAGAGGGTTTGATGAGATGAATATTCAGCCTTCCCACAGGCTCCACGGTGGAGGAGCGTGTGCTCCTGAAGTCACGGCTCCCTCTACAGTTTGTTCAGTGGAAATTTTCCACCCGCTGCAGGAAAAACAATCAAACGGACTGTGTTGAACAATCGGGGGAGGGAAGGGGGGAGAGAGGGGGAGACACGCACGCACGCACGCACGCAGCGGAGACGCGTCCGGAGATCGCGCGCGTCCACAGCTGTACTTGTTCGCCGTGCGTCTCGATCGGCGGCGGCGGCGGGACGTCGCCAAAGACCCCTCGCGCAACACGGCGCGTCCACATCTGGATTATTCATCACAGTGGGCGGGCTGAGTTACCGCTTCCCCCCGCGGACGACGACCTCCCCCCCACCGTGAAACGTGTCTCGTTCTTTGAATACTTGAGGAGTGACGACAACTTTCCCTCCTCTCGGACTTCGCCGCGCACCGAACGCGCCGCGGACGAGTCTCGCGCGCGCAGCTGCCGGAGAAGAAGGACCGGCGGCCGATTCAACAGCGCAAACATGATCGATTACCCGACCGGGATTTGCAATTTTTAAGTAGCAGAGGCAGTTTTGGAGTGGAGCGTCTGCAGCCGGGGGGGCTGGCGGCGGGGCGAGGAGGGGTGAGGAGGGGGGAGACCGAGCAATGTCATCCGCGGAGATGCGTTGCTGGCTCAGGTTCCTGTCCGCGGATGTTGCAGCGCGGTGCCGTTGGGTGGCTGTGATTGGACCGGACACGGACTGGGGGTGACTGATGTTTGCTTCGGGAGAGGGTATTTGGGGGGGTGGGGGGAGGAGATGGAGGGGGCGGCAGGTAGGAGATCAACATGACTTCCACAGTTCCAGGCTCACGCGATCGGGGGACGTCGCCGGTCTTCACGAGCACACGTGTTACTATGAGGACGCCGGAGGTTTCTTTCTTGGATTTACATTCAAACCGGAGCAGAGCAACCTTCAATCTGCCGTGAGGCGTTCACGTGTAACGGATGTGATGCGTTTTGTTGCCTTTTCAAACTGTTTTGAGATTGTTACAAATGGACGGTTTTTTTTAGGCTAAAGTTTTTTTCTTTTTTTTTTTTTGTTCTTCTTGACTCTCACGCAGCGGACTTTAATATTGCATCATTTGTCTTATCAGTTTTGCCTCAGTTGTTTTCTGGACCCTCAGCAGATGCATCTTGCCCGGACTTTTATCCGGAAATAACAACAGTTATGGGACATTACATTTACACATTTTTGTCAAAAGGAGTTGCCTGATTTTTAAAAGCAGCAAAATGTATTCGGAAATGCCCGGCAACATGGCAGTTAACTGGATTTTGTATTTTGTCTTTCTGCTGCCGCTGTTCGCGGTGGGGACGGCTTTCTCGGGGGTTTTCAACGCCACGGACAGAGACATTTTCACAGATGACTTGCTGCAGGTCAAGCTCACACAAGCCGGGCCGACTGAGCCGTGGAAACTCCTCTCCTCGGATTCCCATCCCAACCTATATTTTAACCAAGTGGATGTGTTGCACTTGAGGCAAAGGTCCTCCACCACCCACAGTCACATATTTAAAGTCATCCGCGCCGCTGCGCTCACTATGTTGGCAAATGTTCCCTTTTACATGCCCCCTGCCAAACATGCAGAGTTTACAAGCAAGTGGAATGAGATTTATGGCAACAACCTGCCCCCCCTTGCGCTCTACTGCCTGTTGTGCCCGGAGGACTCTTCTGCCCTGCAGTTTCTTATCAGGTTTATGGACAGGATGGCTGAATACCCCGACTGGAAGGTGACCAGTGCTCCCAACGACGAGGTCCCCAGTGCGCACTCTCTCACTGGGTTTGCTACAGCTTATGACTTTGTTTACTCCTACCTGGACGGGAGGCGGAGGAATGTTTACCTCCGGAAGATCCGCTCCGAGACGGAGGAGCTGTTTGACCTCTCAAAGCACAGAGGGTGGGGGAAACAGTACCTCCAAAACCATCAAACCACCAACATATTAGCCGTCCTGATCGGCGCGATAGTGGTAGGATCACACGGCGACCGGGAGTCAGTGATCTGGAAGCAAGTGGCGGTGAACTACATGGAGAAGACGATGTTCCTCCTGAACCACGTGGTCGACGGTTCCCTGGATGAGGGGGTCGCGTACGGGAGCTACACGGCCAAGTCCGTCACGCAGTACGTCTTCTTGGCTCAGCGCCATTTCAACATGGACAACCTGCAGAGCAACTGGCTGCGGGGACACTTCTGGTTCTACTACGCCACCCTGTTGCCGGGCTTCCAGAGGACGGTCGGCATCGCCGACTCCAACTACAACTGGTTCTACGGGCCGGAGAGCCAGCTGGCGTTCCTCGACGCGTTCGTCATGAGGAACGGGACGGGCAACTGGCTGGCTCAGCAGATCAGAAAGCATCGGCCCAAGGACGGTCCCATGGGGCAGTCGTCTGCCCAGCGCTGGGCGACTCTTCACACGGAATACATCTGGTACGACTCCCAGCTCGCGCCGCAGCCCCCCCACGGCTTCGGCAGAGCGAGGATGCATATTTTCTCGAACTGGGGCGTGGTCACATACGGAGCGGGCCTGCCGAACGGCCAGGGCAACACTTTTGTCTCCTTCAAGTCCGGCAAGCTGGGCGGCCGGGCCGTCTACGACATCGTCCACGACAAGCCGTACTCCTGGCTGGAGGGCTGGAACAGCTTCAACCCCGGTCACGAGCACCCCGATCAGAACTCCTTCACGTTCGCCCCCAACGGGCAGGTGTTTGTGTCCGAAGCGCTTTACGGTCCAAAGCACAGCTACCTGAACAACGTTTTGGTGTTCGGCCCGTCTCCCACCAGCCAGTGTAACGCGCCGTGGGAGGGTCAGCTGGGGGAGTGCGGCAAGTGGCTGCGCTGGTCCGACGCCGGGGTGGGCGATTCCAGAGGGGAGGTGATTGCCGCCTCCTCGCACGAGGACACCATGTTTGTGAGCGGGGAAGCAGCGGCGGCTTATTCCCCCGCCATGAGGCTAAAGAGTGTGTACAGGGCTTTAGTCCTGCTGGACTCACAGACCATGCTGGTGCTCGACCACGTGGAGAGGTGGAGTGATTCACCTGTAAAGTCCCTCAGTGCGTTTTTCCACAATCTCGACATTGACTTTAAATACGTCCCCTTCAGATTCATGGACCGATACAACGGCGCCATGATGGACGTGTGGGACGCTCATTATAAAATGTTCTGGTTCGACAGCCAGGGTCACAGCCCTGATACCAGGATACAGGAGGCGGAGCAGGCGGCCGAGTTTAAAAAGAGGTGGACTCAGTATGTCAATGTCACTTTTCCAGTGACGGGCGCGGTCAGCAGAGTCGCTTACGTCCTACACGGCCCGTACGTCAAAGTGTCCGGCTGTAGGTTTGTGGACGACAGCAAAAATGGAGCGAGACTGTCTTTAACAATAAACAACACAGAGAGGATAGTGTCCATTGCAACAAACTATAAAGACATAGGAGCGAGGATGACCTATTTAGGATTTGGAGGTCACTGCAAAGTTGAGGATAGACATCAAATCACCCGATACGGCCTTGGGACTCAACCCATCCCCAAAGCGATCGACAGTAACAATCAGATGTTTGACTTTGGCCTCAGACTGAATGTAATAGCCGGGGTCGTCCTCTGTGTGGCCATTGGATTCTTGACCATGCAGAGAAAGTTTTACGTCTGCTTCAGCAGGCTGATGCGTTACGCCCTCCCCTCTGTGCTCATTCTGTGGATTGCCGAGCTGCTGTTTGTGTCCAACAGCTGCGATCAGCTCCTCTGTGGGGTAAAATGGAAAGTTGCGGGCGCCAAAAGCGAAGCGAACGAGCAGCAGACGCTCCCCCTGCCCACCGTCGTCATAACAACCCTCCCCGGATCGGGATCAGAGATGCTCAAGCACCTTTTCCACAACAGCTCGGACTTTGTTTACATTAGAGTCCCCACCGAGCACGTGGACATTCCCGAGACCGAGTTTGAGTTCGACTCCCTGGTGGACGCCTGCGAGTGGACGAGGTCGGACGCCGCGCAGGGACGCTTCAAGATGGTCCAGGGCTGGCTGCACTCGCTGGTCTACAACGCCAAGCTGCACTTGCAGAACATTCAGCTGGCAGAGGGCAGCGGGGCCAGACAGCCCCAGAGGGTCGGCCCCGGCGGGGACGGAAAGAAGCGATCCAGCAGGAGAGAGCCGGCGTCCGAGCTGAAGGGCAAACTGAGAGCGAGCCTCGCCAGAGATGCGGAGTACGTGAGGGAGATGAGGCGGCATGTTGCGGAGTACCCCAACGCCCGGGTGGTCCTCAGCATGCGGAGCGGAGGCTGGGGCCTCAAACTGCCTTTCGTCCAGGAGGTCGTGGGCCCCTCGCTGAGGACGATCTACCTGGTGAGAGACCCTCGAGCGTGGATTTATCTCATGGTCTATAACAGCAAACCCAGCCTCTACTCCCTGAAGAACATCCCGCAGCACCTTTCCTTGCTATTCAAGGAGGACGCCGTCGGCGACGGGTGCCCGACGGCGGCGCCGGAGTTCGAGGCCATCCGGGGGCTGCTGTCCGGCTCGGAGACGAACCCCGTCCTCGTCCTGGCCCACCTGTGGCTGGCGCACACCGCGGCGGCGCTCAGAGTCAGCGAGAGCCTCCCCGGCGAGTCCCACCTGCGGGTGAGGTTCGAGGACGTGGTCAACTTCCCGCGGGAGACGGCGGAGAGCGTACACGCGTTTCTGGGGGTGCCCGTCTCCCCCGCGGCCCTCAACCAACTCCAGTTCACCACCTCCACCGGCCTGTACAACCTGATGTACGAGGGAGACATCTCACCAGCCAACATCGACGCGTGGAGACAAAACATGCCGCGAAAGGACGTGAGGCTAATAGAAGAGGTGTGCGGGGGTGTGATGGGCCGGCTGGGCTACGCCAGCTAACCTGCTGCTGGTCAGCTGACACGCACTGTAGCCGCCGACCACTTCTGTAAAGTGTTTTTAATTTAAATTTTGTATGGTTTTGCACTGACCTTGAATCTTGAGAGTTGAGGGGAAACCGAGCAGCTTTTCTGTCTTTTGTGTCTTGTTGTGTTGCTTTGGGTGCAGTCAGCAGATGTTTGTGAGGGAGGAATATTTTACATTAAAATAGGTGAAAGGGAGCTCATATCCTATCCTTTTTTCCCCCCGCAGCCCTTCACACTCACCTGTAGCACTGCTTTTTTTTTATTGAGTGGGACTTTTGTCCTTTTCTGTCGAATGTGCCGAGGTGAATTGAATTTGAGCATTCTCTATGTTACTGCAGCATATTACAGCTCAGTGTCCCACTTAAGATTATTTACTGTTTGTTAGTTAGAGATTAGAACCGAATCTGTGATGTCAAAGATGTTTGTGTAAAATCCATATCTGCTATTGCTGGCTCATTAGTTGTTTTTTGGGGGGGAGACATCAAGATATTTCGACTGGATTGAAACAGATTCGTTATGAAGCTCTATAAGGAGTTGAGACTATTACTTATTGACAGTCCTGTAATTTGTAGCTTTGGGAGAGAATTTTGAAAGAGCACTTTGACTGCCATTAATTCAATATCCAAACTCCTATTTCCATTATACACAATGCTGCAATGCTGCAACGCAGAGGAAAACAAATACAGAAGCGCGATGTGGATTGTATTGTCATTACATCAGAGGAGGGATTTTATTTGAAGCCTGAATGTGTCACGATGGCTTGGTGGCTTAGCACTTTGATTGTATGTTGGGTTCAGCGCGTTTTCCAGAGCTAACTGTGCTTTATGTCCTCGATTAGCTTGGAAATGTGAAAACCTCTGAAGATATCATTTGTAGAAGAAAGAAAGTTAGAAGTATTTATGGGTTCCAACTACGCATATCCCAAAGGATCAGGACAGAATATGATTATTATAACTCCCGTTGGCATTTATTGAATTAGATCAGAGGAAAGTGCTTAATGGGAATCAAACTGGAAAAAAAAAAACCTGTCAGCCTTGACACATTTCTAGTCAAAGCAATTTCCAAAGCAACCCCCTCAGCTACTCATATTAATCTGCAAGATGCCATAACTGAGGCTTACCCCGTCTTTTATTGTTGTGCTGTTTTCACTATAAGAGCCTGAAGGATATGCAAACAATTTTCCATTTCCCGTCGTCGGATATCCAATCGTCTTTTTTGTCTTTTGAGAGTTCAGCGAGCAGTGGACGGAGCCGGGGGAGGATTATTAAGTAAAAACACCCCCCGCTCTGCCGTTACATTTGATGCTGCCTTGCTTAAACATGTACGTACTGTAAAAGGGTCACATGTAACACGCACTTAAAGGCCGTCCCCTCTTATCGGGACACAAAATATAATAAAAAAAGAAGATAGTGTGTTGTCTCGGCTTGGAACCGTGCCGTTGGTTCTCCTCTCTCGGGCTGCAAAGAACCCCGTTTGATGTTTGTGATCTTTGAATGTGTAGACTTGGCGGACATGCTTTCACTTTGCTGTCGCAATCCTGTTACCAACTCTGTTTTGTATTTGCTCGTGGGGAATACGGTTCCTAGCTTCTGTGGCCTTGAATCACAATCATTTTCTTTATAAGGGTTTTCTGTGGGCAAGCGGTGGAGATGATGTAAAGAATATAATAAATTCATAAATATATTTGGCAAGTCTTTTATTTCGGGAATCATAAGGGAATTATCTTGCAGTATGATAGAAGAATGCACCGTGTCATTATTTAAAATCAGACCTTGGCTGTAGATATTATTATTATTATGGGATGTTAAAGCTACTATAAACTTCTGCATCTCCCGTTTTATCAGACATTGATGACAGAAGCCTGATTGCTTGTAGGAGTGACATGCGTGACGAGGAGGAGCCAACAATTAAAAACACGTCATGCAATTATTTTGTCACGCTCTGACTGAGATGCGACTTTTAACAGGGGAGGAAAAAAACCCAGGTTGTTTTTTTATGTGTCTGAAACGGGTCCCAGTGAGTCAGTCCTTCATTACTCATTTGCTCTTGATCCTTCCTGTAACAGTCTAATGCTTGGCAGCGTCCTCTGATCCTCACTTCACTGAGCAGAATGTTTGGGAGGGGAGGAAACTGCAGGTGCTGACTTGTCCTCCTCGGCGAAGCCTCTCTGGGTTCATTCTGAATTTAGAAAATATAAGTGGATAAATCATCGCATTACCAGCCTCTAACTAATCTGACAGTGATGTTAAAGGTTGTAAACGTGAAGCCCAATGAAATATATTGGAATAAAAAACACACACTATTGGCATCAAATATTATAAAGATAAACATAAGTTAAAGTGGTGCAAGTACCTTTAAAATTGCTTTTAGGTATCGTACATTTACTTACATTACAACACAGGTAACCAATAACTTTTTTTGGTTTTATGGATTCATGCATCTAATTTAGAAAAAGTTTATTGGATTTTATTGTCATGATGGTTCTGTAAATGGTGAACTAATAAGTTATTGATATTTGAGGGTTGGGAGGTTCTTAATTGCTTTTATTTGTCACCATCCAGCAGGCAGTGGTGGAAAGCAACTGAGGCTTACTATGCTAATTTTATGCTAAAATTGATAGTGGTCCAGATGCAAGTGCAGGAGGAAAAACACCTGGCAGAAAGAACAGCACCCCAAAAGTCTCTAATTATTGGCTTATACCGAATTAATTAGTATCATGTCTATTAACCATTAATGAAGCTATTCTTTAGAATTGTTATAAAGATTATAAAGACATTCATATTTCATGTTCCAATAAATTGTCTTTTATTTATAAGGTTTTTAGCTTTTTACTCAATGATAGTAATTCAATCATGTTCAAATACTTTATATATTATCTTTTTATGTTTGTCAAATCTTGTTTATTGTTCTTATTATAATCTTGGAAAGTAAGAAAACATCACCGTTTATTATTGGCTTATGTGGCATGTCTAATGGCAGACTTAGACTTATAATGGCAGAATTATTTTTCAACCTTTAAGCTGTTATCTTCAACATTTCATAAAAGTTGCCAAGAAAGTATTTCGCTATGTTTTGAGATTTTATTTTTTAACCAGGATAAATCCTCAAATCAATTAAATATATCTTGTATAAACCCAAATTACAAATGTGCCTCACAGGGCTGAATGCGAATCAGGCTATGAAGCTAATCAGGCTAGTTCACATGCTAATTCTGCATCTTACCCCATGACATTTAACGCTGTCCAAAAATAAAACTATACGTTCTAGTGTTCATTTCCCGTCTGCAAATAAGACTGCAGCTGGCAGACAAACACTTTATGCAAACCGTTTGATGTCTGATCACAAAAAGCAGATTTGCAGGACTAATTTCAGCTCGAAGGCTTCCTCGTAGATCACCCCAGACGTTTGATTACCGTTACGCAGTCATTGCGTGAAATAGCGTTTCATATGAAAGCTGCATCGTAATCCAAACCCGACCCAATCTATAGAGTGATCAAGTAACCCTCTCCCAGTATTTAGCACACGGAGGCTCTCCGGCTACAACAGCCGACTCCATTTCACCTGAGTAGTCGTACCCTTTGCTGTTGCACCTTTATCTCTCGCCACCGGCGAGTCCGAGTCCCAGGAGAGAGCCCCTCCTTCGCCGGCGCTGCTGCCGCTGCCTCATTAATTAACCTTTGCTGCTGCCGCCATCAGTCAGCCAGACGACGTTCCGGGGGGAGGAGAAACCATCGATCCCGCGTGAAGGCGACTGTGTGCTGGAGAGTTAGAAGAGTTTAAAAAAAACACTTTGGTATGAATTCGTCGTGCGTGACTGGTGTCCTTCAAAGGCTTCCGGCCTTTGCTGACTCGGCGTAAGGAGTCTCAAATTAAGCCACTTTCACTGGGCTCAACGGAGCCTGTGAGGTCTTCACATCCCAGCGTTCACCTGGGTGGGGTGGGGTGGGGGGGGGGGGCACACCAAGGGGGATTGCCATCAATAAGAGTGTCAATTGTCAATTTGTGGCTGTCGCGGTAAGTCATTTCTGTAGTGAAAATGGGATCTTCCGTGCCAATAAAGAACGGCAGCGACTGCTGATGGCGAAGGGGAATCCGGGCGGATGAGGCGTTTAGAACATCACTCCGGGCCGATGAAACACTGGCGCTGGCTCGCAGTCGTGAGCCGGGAACCTTCGTCGAGGCCTCACGCAATCCAAATTGCCAAATCCTCTCTTTTCTTCCTCCTGTTTGACAGGATACGTGATCGTCAGCCGAATTTGTCAAAATGAGATGATTCCGCATTAACTGCAGATCCGTCTTCTGAGGATTTCACGGCCTTTGGTGCATTTCAATCATGATTCCCTCCATATGTTTATTTGCAAACAGAAAACGACCATGCCTATGACTGAAAGTCGAATTCCCTCTGAACATTGCATAACAGCACGACTGGAGACTGGAGACGTTTCTGACTTTTTGACTTTGAAAGTGAGACCCTTCAGTATGAACTGTCTCCCTGGACACACGGGTTAATCCCCTCCCTTGTTCTGCATATCGCAGACCGAGCTCCCTGACTCCTGGAAACTGAGCCACTGTAGTCTGACTTCTGTACCGCTCTCCTCTCTTTCTCCTATTTCAACCGTCGCGGTTTGCTGGCAGTGCAAAAACCCGCCAGAATGTTGTTGTGTAAGCTGGAAAAAGACAGGGAAAAAAAAAATGATTCTTTAATGCTAACTACCAACGCCGTGACGGAACGTGTTAGCCGCTATCGCCGCTTAATGAGCCGTGCCGTGTGTTCTTAGGTGCAGGACTGGATCCAGCTGGCTGGGCCACGAACAGACGGAGGAGGGGGGGCTCTCTTCCTAGACGACACACTCAGCAGTCCTTCATTACCTTGAACCGGAGACCATAACCCGCCTGTCAAAGCTCTCCCTGCACCCTGTGTGGGGGCCGCCGAGGGGGATTCGTTTTCACCCCTCTGCGCTGTACACGATGGGACTGATAGCAGGGGGTGAGATGCACGACATGCAGGGGTTTGCGGGGGCGTCCCGTCCGGCCTAATTACATCAGGCAAGAGTCATTGATCTCTAATTAGTGGAATTTATGTCTTGAGGCGGAGTAACGGCCCACGTTGGTCAAATTGTGCCTCGGATAATTACAGCAGAGCGAGATTCTGCTGTGAGGTGAGTTGTTCCTCACCTACATGTTCACATCTCATACTTCATAGAGGGGGAGGCTATTTCCTTCAATAAAGGATTGACCGAAGACCCGACCGGGTGGGGGACTCTCTCACTGTGAGCCTCAGAGATAAGACAATCATTTCACTCCACACAGATTTCATATCCTCTCCTTCCAATAACTGTCCCACCCGGAGCGGCCGTCTACGCAGTCCGAGAATGCAACCTTAAAATTACTTTTTCTTTTTCTATTCCCTTTTGGGTGACTTTCCCCCTCCTCGAGAAAAGAAGCTTCACTTAACAACTGTTCCTCGCATCAAACATTTGGCTAGCTTCAAACAACAACAGTGTTTTATTTTGAAAAGAGACATCTTGACACCGACAGGCGGCGGGAGACGAGGGACATTCGTCGCTCTTCTCTTCCCCCCCCCCCCCCGCGCTTTCTATCTGCCGAGGGCGCCAGATGGTCAGACGCTCTGCTCGCGTGGTCGTGTTAGTTGGAGATCGGCCTCCTCGGCCTGCTCGGAATAAAATGAAAGCGAGGAGATGCTTGGAAATGCTAAGATCCGCACAATGTGAGCCTGATACCTGATGTGAGGAACACAACCAAGGTGGTAAGGAGGTAAGAGGTGTCCCCTCTGCTGGTGGGACATGATTTGCTATTTTTTTAACCAACTGTTAAATTGTCCTCGGCGTTCGTCCACAGGATTAAAAAAAAGACCAGAATGGTACGAGACAAACAAAAAGATTTTGTGCGCCTCGCAGCAAGGGACGCCACAGTGTGTCCACCGGCTCCCCGCCCGGACGGACCCGCTTGGGGGCCCCCGGGGCAATCAATGAGCCGTTGGACCCGGTTACACCCAGAGGCCCAAACCAAGCTGTTGAATCAAAATACACCAAAAGATGTGTGTGCACAAAGTCAGTGTCAGCTTAGTGCTATTTTGACGAATCCAAAAGTCTTCATGTAAATATAACTTCTCATCAAGGAAAGGTCACGTGTTATCTTGAAAGATTTCTCTTAAATGAACAGTCCACAACCTTTTCCTCAAATATCCTCATTTTCTAAAAATAGATGTCTTTTCACAGAATATATTAAGAAAAACCCTGTTGAATTGAAGTTTGAAGACCTGGGCAGTCGACGTGAGGAGTGAATCGCTTTGGCATTAGCGGATGTTGGCGCCCGTCCAAAATAAAGCACCGCGCCACCTTAAAAAACACCCGTGCGTTGTGACAGCGAAGAAATTAAGTGGAAAATGAATTCCAAGACAACTTGTCAATGGCTGTGGCTTCAATGCCAGAGTCATTTGCCAGGAGCGCTCGCAATATCCCTTTTTTGCCAACAGGGAGGAAATGACGGCCTAATATTAAGGCTCTGGTTCAACACTGCAACCCATTTATATTCTGCAGAGCTGCGGGAGATTTTACCCTACGTACAGGACTCCAGAGTCACTCTGAGCTTATTCCCAACAGCTGCCCTCCTGTCTCTCGGGGTTACGTCTTAAATCAGGGCCGCAATTTCACTTTAAAAAT